CGAATAAAACTTTACGGACCTGGTTGTCACAGGACTGGGGAGAAGGGGTATCATAACTATGACAGAGATTCGGATTGATGGCTGGTAGATCGAAGCCAAATAGAATAGAAATCCACTCTTCACAATTTGCTCAGGGTACATGGATTGAATGAGGAAACAATTTCCGATGTCTGCAAGCATATGAGGCGACAGTCTATGCTCATCTAAAGACTTAAAATATTGCTACGAAGAAAAGTTGGGTTTTGAGGAATCTCTTGTTTCATGCTTGTTGAGCTCTCTTTGTCCTTTTAGCTCACTGTTTCTCTCTTCGCATTGAGACCAAAAACATCAAATAGGCTGATCAGCAAAACCAGACGTTTGCGACCTTGCGCAATCGGAGTGATGGTTATAACATGTTTGTAGAAAGGGGAAGATACGGGTCATCAAACCTTGATGGCCAAAAACAGACGTTCCTTTTTGCTGTCCTAATTACTTTGAGCCATCACTCGAGTTTCGGTGCATAAGTCAAATACAAACATGCACATACAGATACAGAGACAGACACACTCACATGCATCAAGGTTGACATATGACCGTAACTAACCAAATCACTTTATAGTTGATCAAAGAAGCCAGATGTAGAGTAAATATACCACTTTTTAGGGATTTGCCGGTGAGTTTCCTTGACTCGTTAGCTTGAATCTGGTTGTTACGATGATACCTTGCTCGGATAATGTCCGTCATATGACGGACGAAAGCTTTACACCTTTTCATCGGAATCGAAGGAGATTGCCTCGGAAACAGCGTCAGCATGAATCCTCCAGTAAAGCCAATCGACAGCTGGTCAAGAGGAATCGGCCGTCGTTTTCTGGTGGAACCGACCTTCGAATCTCTTCACCCAACACTTCCACTCGAAATGGAAGTAAGCTCAACAATCTAAATATTGCGCCTGAAGTAAAACGTATACAGTGAGTGGAAACGAGTGAAATCATTTAATCATAAAGACAAGAAACGAATCTCCGGAGCCATGAGGGAGATTTGGACAGGAGATTTACTAAACCTCCAAAAAACGACACACAAACAAGAGAATTGAATATAAACAAGTCAGAAGTTAGGATAGGGAGGGGAATTCGATAGGAGAGTAGGGAGTATGTTCGGCAGAAAGTCGGTCAAGGGAGTGAAGTCATTTTTGACTTTGATGAGTTGTAGTTTTGTAACCAAAATGGCAAGACTCACTGACGGTACCGGCGAAACGTCGGGGAATGTACCAAGTCCGCTGTGCAACGAGGAGAATTATCACAACTACTGTAGCAGAGAACTAAATGCGTCCAACTAGGTTGTCCTGACAACACGATCAAGTTGTCAAGATGAGGTCAGACTACTTGTATGCATTGAAAGTAGGCTGCGACTAATACAGAGGACATAACTTCTTGGTCTTCATATCTACGATTAAAATATGAAATATTCACCAACACATTCAACGTCTTTATATCTCGAGGGAGCATAATGCCGAGAACTAGTCATCTTAATCATTGTTACGAGTTGTTTCTAAAACAAATTGTAAGTTTAAGGTGATGAAGGACTGGTAGTAGAATTTTCCCACAATTAAATGAGTAGAGCTGACGCTTCCATTGTTCTCATCGAGGCACCAGTGGACTACAGTTTCGACCTTGCATCGGTCTTATCAACACCCCAGCCGGAGTCAAACCTTAAACTTAATAGGGTGAATACATCGCATATAACTGATATACTGGTAGCCTTTAAACTCCATTTATATACGAAAAATAAGTAATGTAGTCGATTGTTATAGCAAAAATACGTTTGCTTTAACGACAATCACACCAAAGAATGTGATATGGAAAAAGGCCTGGCCTTCCTCGAAATTCACATCTGCCCTGTGACCCAAGGGCGCTTGTAGCAGTGTGGACGAGTGGTTAACGGTTCGACTCCCGCTGAGGCTTTTGATAAGATCGAGGTGAGGTCAAAACTGCTGAATAAGAACAACTTTTGGGAAAGCAAGGCTATGTGAAATTGAATGGAAACGTCAGGTCTACTCATCCAATTGTGCGAAATTTCCTACTACCAGTCCTTAGTCAGCCTAAACGAAATTAGGTAAATACATCTCATATTACTGATTTACTCTACTTAAATACGAAAAATAGTCAAGCATGTTGGTGTTTAACTGACTGTTGGCGATATAGTGACAGGTTTTGCCAACTTTGTGGTGAACACATGAAAACACACTTGTCTATCTGTAAGCTTTGCTGTATATGCGTTATCATGTTCTCTATCTCTTCCCTGTAGCCACGAAGTCAGACTAACAAGGGAGAGGAAATAGAGATTCTTCAGTTTTCTACCAACAGTACAAGTGGCCACTGCTTGATGCAAAAGCCTGAGGTGCGTGTGATCCCGGTCAACTTGTACGGCAACCAAGAGGCCTATCGGACAGAGGTCACTCTGAGCATGTTCTGTATGGAGCAGGCCTTATTGTTCATAGTCGACCCGCTAATGGGCGCAAATGCAGCCGTCACAACTAACGTGGGCGTGACTGGAATGTCACTGATTTCGCCCAGTCAGTTGTCGGGTGGGGAGCAGAAACAGACGACAGACCATCGACAAGAGGTGAGTAAGTTGTCGGTTTCGAGCCACTCTTCTCGTCAATAGTGACGAAAAGAGTGCTGAGATAGCTTCCATTTTATGTGAACTGGTGCGGCAAAGCCTTTATTTCCCACTATCCTTCTTCTCCGATGAATCCGTGTGGTAAAAGAAATCATCAGAGAAACATATTCTACTTTATAAACATTGTCACAAGTTGGGAAACCTGATTATACGAGCTGATATTGCGCTTTGTATGATA